GGAAAGAGTCAACAGTGATATCATTCAAGGGTGCATACCTTTGTCAGCTATTTTAGTAGGAATTGTTTTTGCAGTGAGTTTTTTGTTGAGTTTAATCCACATCTAAGCCACAGTAGTGATTGTTAAAGCTCCTGTTGGTTATAATCATCCTGCTTGAATGTACATAAATTTGTTAACATTTATGAATTTTTTTTGTAGTTGATGCAATGAAGAGAGTTGAAGAGATCAAACAGAAACGCCAGGCTAAATTTATAATGAATAGGTATGAATAATTAAAATATATTTTCCTGTAAGTTCAGACTTTCAAAAACTGGCAAGATAGTATAAAGAAGTCTTGTATATTCTGTTCGCATTTTGCCAAATTTACTTTAACTCTGTGCATAGTAAGTTGAAGACATGATACCTTTTCCTCCTAAGTATGCTTCTCTCTCTCTCTCTGTATATATATATCTATCCTAAAAATAGTATGTTCTTTTTCTCAGGGGTTTTAAAATTGAGGTATAATTGACACACATTAGTTTCAGGTGTACAGCATAAGCACATGCTCTTAATAACCACGATATAGTTAAATCAGAAAATTAACACTGCTAAAATACTATAGACCTTATTAGCTTTACCTGTTGTTCCAATTATGTCCTTCATAGCAGCAGAAAATCCTGGATCATACATTGCATTTAGTGGTCATATCTCCTCAAGCTCCTTTAATCCAAACAGTTTCTCACCTTTGTCTTAGATGACATTGGTATGTTTGAAGAGTACAGGTCAGTCATTTCATAGAATGTTCCCCGGTTTTTGTTTGATGTTTTCTTCGTGATTAGATTCAGGTACCTTTGGCCAGAACATCATAGAAGTGTGTCACCCTTAAGCATCCCAGCAGAGGCACCTGTTGTCCCTTGCTGGTGATGTTAACTTTCATTGCTTGGTTAAAGTAGTGTCTGCCAGTTTTCTCCACTGGAAAGTTACTGTTTTTTCCTCCTTTTTAATCAGTACATATCTTGAGGGAGACACATTGAGACTCAGCAAAGAGCCTGTTACTCCTCAAACTGATACCTACTGGTTTTCACATCCATTAGAGTTCTGCCTGAATCTGTTACTACTGTGATTGTTGCCAAATGGTGGTTTTTCTGATTTCATCATTTCTTCTCCGTTTATTAGTTGACCTTCTTATCTAAGAAAGAGCATTTTCCTTTTTCCCCAGTTCCAAAATTTATTCTTTCATTCATTTATTCACATCATATCTGTGTGTATTCATTAATTCTTATTGTATTCAATGAGTTATAATCCTTTGTCATTATTTTGATGTTCTAAGTGCCCCAAGTTGGCCAGTGAGAATTCCTTCAGGCAGGCTGTGTATCATTTTGACAGTTCCTCACCATTCTTTGAGTCCTTTCTTGCTTTATGGCTAATGAGATTTTCCCTGCCCCAGCTTGGAATTGGCCATTTCTTTAGAAGGGGCATCGCTTTTGATCTAGTCACCATAAAAGTCATAGAAAAGCATGCGTCAACAGCTTTCTGGCTTAAAAAAAATTTTTGTTTTTAAAGCATTACAAAAGAGGACCCAAATGCTTGAGAACTAGTCTGTTAACTTTTTTTGTAGAATGTCGTGTGTTTTGTGCTCTTGTAATTACTGAATGATTTAAAAAATGAGGTAACACAGACTACAAATCTTTCTCCTCAAATAGAGAACACAGACACTTTATTAGAGATTCTTACTCTGTGTAATCTCTGAGACTTGTTAAGTCTTTGTTTCAATCACATCCCTCATTCACTGAGCAAGTATCTTTTCAACCCCTGTTTTATTCCCGACTAGGTGCTAAGAATACAGTGAATGAACAAATTGGGAGTGCAGGAATCATGTTTAAGCTAATTAGGAACAAGAAATGAATTGTTTTCCCATTGCTTATTTGTGTGGCTAACTTAATACAATTTTTACAAATTAGGAATTAATGTCTTTTAAAGAGGTTTTAGTAACTGAAATTTTGGCCTTTATCCTAGGTTGAAGAAAAATAAAGAACTACAGAAAGTTCAGGACATTAAAGAAGTGAAGCAAAACATCCATCTTATCCGGGCCCCTCTTGCAGGTAAGTACTGCATTATGCAGGAGTTCTCTGCCTTAAGTAGAGAAATGAAAAATCTGGATTGTTGTGGTCCATGTAATTGGGTACCAACCAACTTTTTAACAGTGAATTTCTCCCTCATTTATGATATGACTATTTATAAAAATAATTTAGTCAGTGTGTTTCCCAGTTCCAGTCAATTTATTGCATATGGTGTTTCTTTTCTCCCTTCATAAAATCCTAGCTTCCACAAAATCCAAGTTAATCAAAATGATTTGAGTAATAATTTAATAGATAATTTTGCCTCATACCTGTTTTGATTAAAGGATCATGTTTTATATTAGTAGCTCTCAAACTTCATTTGGTGTGGGAGTTACTTGGGGGACTTAGTATGTAAACATAGAGGTCTAAGCCCCTTGAGTTTGGACCTCTGTTCTTTAGTAGCTCTCCAGGTGAGTCTTATACTTCAGTTTGTGAACTACAGTTTTGTATTAAAAACCCTCCCTGTGCTTATGTAACTTGCAGTTAGGCACTCACTTGAGTTGTTGCTTGTGTGCATAATTTCTTTTGTGTGATGCTAGGAAATCACTCTTTTTACTCAGCTGGTGCCAAGTACAAACTGTTAAAAGGAGAGAAATTTTGGTGAGATTTAGCTCTGCCTAAACCTTAGTAAAGTCAAATCCTATAAACCACATATTGGGTAGATTTATGCAAAAGTCCTAGCTAGGTTGTTATTGTACCAAATTTTAAAAAAACAGACAAAATCCTGGAGCATTGTTTCACATATAGATGATATGGACTGACAGACACCCAAAAAACAATAGGAATGAACCATTGTTACCTAAGTTTTTAGGTAACCCTCTTTGAGGTAGGTAGTACAATGTTAAGAGCAGAGACCCTGGTGGCCAGGGTTCACATCCCAGCTCTTTGTCAAGAGTTTAATTTCTTTTTTTTTTTTTTTTTTTTTTTTTTAAGGCAAAGAAAAGCAGCTGGAGGACAGAATGGTGCAGAAATTACAACAGGATGTGGACATGGAAGATGTTTCTTAGAACTCTTACTGTCTGTAACTATTTCTATAAGTGCATCTGGAAATCTCCTTTGGAGACATAGAACTTCTAAATTATTGTGTTTTTTTTCATATAAGGTCACTCATATGAAAGGGGATTAAAGTACTTCCTTCCTACATTGCTATCTGCAGAACAGCAGATGTGGATGCTTGATTGCATCTCAACGTTAAGCCTTCACTGAGCGATACACTTTTATAAGTCATGAAAATTGTTTGTAAATACAGAAGTGAATTGTGGACATAAAATGGTCATGCCATTTGGTTAATGACAAATTCATGACGAGTAATATATAAAATAAAATTTTCATTGCAGTAAAATATTCCTTTTCTAGAAGGGATACAGCAAGGAACTAACAATCTGTATGACAATTAGCCTCGAGTAATTTCTTTTGATTTTAGTACTTCTGGTTTTGGTTTATTAGCTTCTTAGAAGAACATAATGGTCTCATATATTGAAGCCTAATTATGTTGGACCGTTTTGATCTGGTTTTAACTATTGTGATTGATAGGCATTTGTGGATGTTGGGGGTGAGTTGAATAGTGTGTTCCTGAAATGGCACTATATAATTTCTACTTTGGAGAATACTCACTTCTAAGTTGATATTCCTAGTAGAATAAGCTTTATTTTTCTAGGTGTCCAGTATCTATTAAAATTTTGTGTGGTTTTTTTAAAAACTCCTTAATTGTTTGTGGAAAATTGGACGTATGGGTAACACATTATATATTATTTGCACATAAAATTGTTTCTGAAAGTGCCTATGTATTTATTATTTTAAAGTACTAAACAAAAGGTATGAAGTTTGCTCACACGTAAGAAGTAGGAGATACATTTAAAGAGAAATGTATAAGAAGTAGGAGATACATTTAAAGAGAAATGTATACTTTATACTTCATGTTTTCTTATTTTTACATTACTTATGAGTAAGTATGTTTAGAGTCTTAGGTAATTCAGTTTTTTTTTTTAGGACAAAATTTAGAATAAATTACAAGTTTTAAGGTTATATAATTATATAGTTATGGCTAAATTTTTATTTTAGTATTAGATAGTAAAAAAGTGGACTGATCACTGCACCAGGTGTTAGAAGACCTGAATCCAGCTTTGTTCTTATTGGTAAAATAAAGCTCATTTGTAAACATTATTATTGATGCAACATTTAGGGGAATTATGTATGTAAAGACATTTGTAAAATTACTTGAAGTTTTCATTGCATTCTATATATTTTTTTTTTTTTTTTTTTTTTTTTTTTTTTTTTTGCGGTACGCGGGCCTCTCACTGTCGTGGCCTCTCCCGACGCGGAGCACAGGCTCCGGACGTGCAGGCTCAGCGGCCATGGCTCACGGGCCCAGTCGCTCCGCGGCATGTGGGATCTTCCCGGACCGGGGCACGAACCCGCGTCCCCTGCATCGGCAGGCGGGCTCTCAACCACTGCGCCACCAGGGAAGCCCTGCATTCTATATTCATGTTTGTTTTAATATAAACTTGTTTAAAATTACATAGTAAAACTAAGTAAAACTTAGTTTCTTAGTAAGTTTTACTGAGTTTTAAGAAACAAGTTTCCTACTGTGCTAGTTAGGGAGCAGCTTAGCTCTTGCTTTGAGATCATTAATTGGGGAAATTGAGCTGAAACAAAGAGCTGACACTGTGTCTCAGGTTTAACATTCAGGCAGTTCTCTTAGCTGTCAGGATTTCATATTATTGTGAGACGCCAGATAAGTATTTGGGTGCAAATGCCATGATTTTATCCACCCACAGCTTTTTAAGCTTGGTTGGACCACTGAGGATGAGTTATCCCTTTAAAGTTTGCCTGAGAGTGGTGAGGTATAATGGTTTTAGGCTACTATTGTTTTAGCTTGTCTGGTTGAGACCTCTGCTGGGCAGTTAGCATAAACACAAAAGCATAAATTGTCCAAACATTCACTACACAGAATATATTCTCTCATTGTTTAAGAACAGCATCAGGCTGGAAGTCATAGAATTTTTTTTAACATGTACCTCTTAAAAAACCTTGTAAGATTGCGGAAAAAAAATTCTCACATGAAAAAAAATCTCATTTCTTAAAAATGGAAACCCTAGGAAGATGTTTACCCTGTAGAAGAAAGTTTGAGAAGGACTAGCCTATAATCTCATAAAGTAGACAGCATTTTTCTAATTTTATAAGTGGCCAGATATCAGGTATAAAATCTTGCCCCTTAATCACACGGAACAGAAGATGGAAGAGGCAGGGATTTGTGTTCTTACCAGTCTGTTTCCAGCGTTGCCCTGCGTTTATATGGAAGGGATTGATCTAGAGCCTCTCAGATCCCATCTTCACAAGTCCAGGTGTTAGCTGCAACACTCACTTGACTATACTTTGGTTTCTTCATCTGAAAAAAAATGGAGACAATAATATGACTAATCTCAGGAGTTTTATGAGGATCGAATTAGTTAATACAACAGTCATTTCAAGTCCACCACTATAGTCAGGTACTGTTAAAATGTTAGCTATCGGGGCTTCCCTGGTGGCGCAGTGGTTGAGAGTCCGCCTGCTGATGCAGGGGACGTGGGTTCGTGCCCCGGTCCAGGAGGATCCCACGTGCCGCGGAGCGACTGGGCCCGTGAGCCATGGCCGCTGAGCCTGCACGTCCGGAGCCTGTGCTCCGCGTCGGGAGAGGCCAAAAAAAAAAAAAAAAAAAAAAAAAAAAAAATGTTAGCTATTAAGGTTAGTGTGTGACCGCACAAACTCAGTAACAGCAAAGGACTTTGACTTGGAAGAAAGATGGAAGGTCTTAGGGTTTGGGGCTAGCTGTGCTAAATTGAGTGCAGTGTACTTAGTCTACAAAGTGATATGTATGGTTTAAAATGTTAATTTTAGCCTTTATGTCAGCTGGCAAGTTCAGTTATTAAAAGCGTCTCATTCCACAAACATTCTCTGCTGTGAAGATTGGGAGGGGGAAATACATTTCTGGTTCATCAGCATTAGTTTAAAAAATGAATCATCGCCCATAATTTTAATGGCCAATTTACATGATATAAGGGAAGTTATTTTTTCCCTCTGTCCTTTAGCTTACATTTTAAATGGAGATCTGGAAAAAGACATCAGACTTTAATCACGCAATATAAATTCCAATATTGAATGAACACTACACCTTGTAAAAATTAACTTAGCAGCCTGCTGAATTGAGAGTGTTGAAAAACTAGGGAAAAATATATAAAAAATCAGTTTCAAAGGCTCTAGGAAGAATTTTTTAAGGTGTCTATTCTTTACTGATACATAGCAGAATGGAAAAGTTAACACATGGTTTACCCTGCATGTGTTTACACTGAGTGTATCCATCAGCCTCGTGTTGATTGGAATCTTTTTTGTCTGTTGTTGAATTTTTTAAAGGAGAAGTGACCTTTTTCTTATCTTTTCTGACATTCTGGATGTAACAATCTTTAGTTTCTGGTGCCATGGAGTGAGTCTCTAACTTAAGCTCTCCTGCTTGAACACTCTCCCTAGGTTTTTTTTTTTTTTTTTTTTTTTAATCTGGCTCCTTAATTAATTAATTTATTTTTGGCTGTGTTGGGTCTTAGTTTCTGCGTGAGGGCTTTCTCTAGTTGTGGCAAGCGGGGGCCACTCTTCATCGCGGTGCGCGGGCCTCTCAATATCGCGGCCTCTCTTGTTGCGGAGCACAGGCTCCAGACACACAGGCCTAGTTGCTCTGTGGCGTGTGGGATCTTCCCAGACCAGGGCTCGAACCCATGTCCCCTGCATTAGCAGGCAGATTCTCAACCACTGTGCCACCAGGGAAGCCCCTTCTCCCTAGGTTTTGTATCTTATTTCAAGCTATCATACAGGGGTTGGAGGTGATGTTTCTACCAACATGACCTTCCCCGGGGTACCAGTTACCTGAACTGATTCTCTAGGCTCCCATTGATTCTGTGGCTTCCCTTTGATCCTGCCAATAAGTTTCTTTTGCCAGTGTTTGTAACCAAAAATTTTGATTGACAGACATCCCCATCCTCTCCAGCAAGTCCAGGCAACCCATTTCTATCATAATCTATTAAGATTGCAGGGACTGTTTCTTATCCCAGACACATATTAGGTACCTGGTGCATGGAAGGTGCTCAATAAATGCGACTAAATGTAGCCATTTGCTAGGTTTACTCCTGCTTATCTTTAAGATAGCCAGTAACTTGGAAGATATAAAGAATCAATTAGCAGCAGAGAGATACTACATTAGGAAAGGAAGCAGCCTATGACTTTAACATTAATTGTATCTGCACTGTTGGGAAGACTTGCTGAAGAACAGTGCTTACCTTGGGTTGCAAAAAACTGATTTTGCTGCTTAGGTCTAACCATCTAGTGGTGGTACACCAACCTCCACTTCTGGGTCTGGCTGGAGCATTCACAAGTCAAGAAATCCCAGCAAGAACTGAGCATGAGCCATGGTTTTGGCAGGTTTCTTAATGTTTTGTCTGGAACGTGCTTTGCCGGTGGAAGTAGAACTTTACTTCAGGAGCCACAGAGTCTAAAATAGAAATAAGGACAATTGGGAAGAATCTGTTAAAAGAGTATTGCTTCTCTCAAGGGATGTTAACCAACCAAAAAATACAGGAGACTGGTCCGTTAGCATTTCGAGGAACTCTTTGTTTTGAGAATGCCAGATTTTAAATACTTCATTTGTTTAATATATTCCAATAAAGTGTATATATGTTTGGTTCGGCACCAAGCCTTGGGCTCTTAAGAGGAACACCAATGAACAGTATGCCATTCCAGTCAGTGAGTTACCTCACACTGTTTTCCACTGTACATTTGATGATATTGTTACATATTAACTCTTCTGATAGGGAATGATGTAGGCAGTGAGCAAGTAGTTAAAGGCAGTCCAGCTGATTCAAAGGATTCCCCATTCCAAAGCAAATGATACTACATACTTATACTGTGTTAAACTACATTGTTGTCCACTGAGTTTCTCTTCAGTACTCTCAGATTCTTCATGCTGCCGAAACACCAGAGCTAGGAGCTTTTTGACTCTGTAGAGACAGTTTCCCCAATTGTAGAAGATAATATACAATGGAAATAAAAGTTCTGTAGGGGAAAATGTCTAGGTCCTAACCTCTCAGTTCCTTGGATCACACGTTTGCCAAGCGGTA